CTATTACTGCTAGCGAAAAATTTTTATATGGAAATTATAGATCTCGACGTCCTCTACAAGAAAGGTCTAATGCAATTTTCCCGTAGGTCCAACAGTTTAGGAGTTATTGAAGAAAAACGAAATTTTTTGTCAAAAGTTCGCCGTTTCGAGGCTGGGATGGTCGGATTTTGTCAACATCAATAAAATGCCAAATAATCATATGTAACTTGTTAAATACTCGAGTTAGAAGAAAAATTCATAGAATCTTGAACAACATGAACAAACTGAAACTATTCCTCTACTCTATCGGGTTTAACGATTATGTAAGACTGCTCTAGCAATTATAAACAAATGTGTTCAAACTCAGGTATCACACAGAAGTGAGAACCAGTCGGTCCTCGCACTCTCTATACTCCTAATTACGAATATCAGCGCTCCTTGATTAAACCATCATTGGCGCTAAATACAAATATATCCTCGCGTGGAATTTTTTAATATCGTAATACATCGTATTACCTTAATAATAAGTATGGAGGAAATAGAATACGGCAAAATGCATGATCAAAGAATTAAAGGAAAATCTTACAAATTTTATTTTGCATAAAAGATCCCAGGTTAAATACTGTTTGCTCTATAGGGCTTTAAACCGCACGATGATCTTTATTTATGGCCAATGTAATACGGACGGTAGTACATGGTGTTTGATGTTTGAAAATTCCACAAGCACTACCGGCTGGTAAAGCACCGCAGATTGTTTATTGTAATCTGGCTACCGCACATGTTTCCGTATCGAGTCTCGGAGATAAGCTGGTTTTGAATGTCCATCTCGTGTTCACGGGCGAGTTCCGTGCCGGGCACGCTCGTTTCCGAATGACGCAAAAGAGAGAACAGGTTTTCCGTCGATATCGCATCGTCGCGTTTTATTACAACTATCCTCGCGCTCCGCGTTCTTACGAAAATCGCGTAAAAAGCATTGAATAATTAATTGATCGATGGCTAAGCGACCGTTCAATGAACGAAGAACGAATCATAAAGGAAACGCAGACACATCGTGGTATCTGTTCTGAGTCACATGATCACGTGCGCAAAAATATTTCCTAGACGTCTGTTACACAATAGATATGCGATTATTACAGAAACGTTAGTGGTAATTTCCTCGCGTGCTCGACGTTGTCTAAATTTAGCAATTTTCGTTATCTGCAAATGGAAAAGGAAACAAGAATACTTTTACGTCTTGGAAAATGCGATACGCGTACGAAGCCGAAGCCACATCCTGAAAACGTGATAAACAGCGGCGAGTTTCGTCGACGTATTTCGAGAAATCGCGCTAGAGGCTTAATTAAGATTGGCGATCGGCGAATCGATTAGAGTTCGCGAAACTCTCGGACGGGTTTTTGGAAGACGTCGTTGGTCCAGTCGAGTGTTCCGCGAAAAGGCCTCTTGGCTCGTTTCCAAGGCGACGGATCTTCAGCATCGAAACCGGCGACGCTCCACAGGTGTTTAAACTTAGAACTCTGGTTAATTAAGATCCTCCGTGCGGACGAGCAATTGGGAATTTCGCGTACGCCGGGAAAAACCACTGCTCACGAATAAACTCGTTCCCTCTTGTTGACAAGTCTCTCTTCGAAACGTAGTCGAGCACCGTTCAAGCGGTCCGCCTCGTCGGAAACGCGGACGTTCTCAACATTTTGCCGCGTCATAAAGAAGCTCGATTAATCTCCTCGTAAAGTAGAGTCAATTTGAAGACGCACCTTTCTCTTCAATGGTTACGCCTGTTTCTTGCACCATTTACGATCTCGAAGATAGCGCGCCGGCTGATAGTTTACGTTTTCGCGGCTAGTAAAGATCTCGTCGCATTAGTATAAATCTTAGTGGGCGACGGACGGTCGCGCGGGTAAATCGGTCGGAACGTTCGGTTGAAACTTCGGGCCATTACGCGATTCCGAAAGAATGTCGCGCTGTCGGCGAACGAACGGTGAACAATGGAGAAAGTCGTAAAGGCACCCCTTTCTTATCTGTTGGGTCATAAAGTTTGGTCACACACTTGCACTAAGTACCGATGGACTTACCTTCGAACGCTTTCACGAGGCGCAAAATGTCCCGGACGTAAATACGATATTCGGCGGGGGAAAAATGAATTTGAAATTCAACGGCGAACCCGGATGCTCCGCCGCCAAAGACCCGTTCCTTACTCTGTTTCGTCGAATCATTTATGGAACCGCTCGACCCGATCACCGGGCTAAATATTTTTTAAAGAAACCGTAGAACGAATGCTCGGCGTGTCGCAAATCGAACCTGGGGCGCGGAAATCTTCCCCACCCTTTCCTCCTCCGATTCGCCGTTTCTCTGTCAGGCGTACATACTCGAAATTCGAAGGTTATTTTTAGTTCGGGTTTCCTCGTCGCGTACGACCACGAAGAGCAGAGCGGCGTCGAGAGGCTCAGTGTAAGAGAGGCGTCGGTGGAGGACGCAGTGGTGACGGACTCTCTTTCGAGCAGTGGAGAAAAGAACGTGCGCGAAGGAAAGAGGAGAATCGAAAGAGAGTGCACGAAAGAGATAAGAGGAGAGGGAGAGAATTAGAAGGGAGAAGAGAGGCGCACACCGACGTCCGAACGATCTCCGACGAACGAACGATCGACTGAAATTACTTTTTCTCGCATTGACCCCCGTACACTCACCCTCATCAGTCCCTTTGACCCCGCTTCCCTTTTTATAAACACCTCCCCGCTTCCGACTCATACTTCATTATTTCTTTTTTTACTTTTCAATTTCTTTCGACGACGAAACGAATAACTGAACGAAATATCGAGCTATGGCAGCCACCGCCATGGATCCAGTCGACATTGCTAATATCCTCGCGCAGGAACTGCTTTATCAGCAGGTAACACTCGCTAAGTGTCGCGGGTCTTTTATAGACTGTTCTGCTTCTAACTCTTTACTCGGCATGCCAACGCTCGTTTCAGAGTCAAACTAATCTCGATCATGCTCCCCTGTCTAGCTCCTTAATCACTTTTGTTGAGTGTGTGCTCCCTGTTTTTGTTTATGCCCGAACGAATGCCGGTGTCGTCCGACGAGAGCCGTTGTAACAGCTGCTGGATTTATTTTGAAAGGGACGGCTACTCGAGACGTAGTCAGCGACAACAAATAAATCCGGACGTTAAATGGTTGCGACTAACATAAGTACGGCCACATGGTTGATGTGTGAGGGCTTATGAGATCTCTCAGTAAAATCGTATAGTCTGCTACGTTGGCCAGAGAATTTGTACGAATCATCCTGTTGTTAAGATCGTTTGCAAGCCAGCCGCACGCTTCCGATCGCATAAAAATGAATGAGAAAAGACAGTCAACTGGATTCAATTCGTATACAGTGTGAAAGCATGGGTTAATTTTAGAAAATCGTTTCGGAGATCTAGGAGCCCACCGCTGAAAGGATCTATTCGTGAATGACGCGTCTACTTATTGTTCTCGGGGTCCCCAAGAGATCACGTCCAATTACATTGTTCCTCCTTACAAAGTAGCCTTTCTGCTCGAGGAAAACGGACAGAGGACCCTCGTAAGGGGCTTCGAAAGCGATCGTCTAAAATAAACACGCCACTTGGCAGGCCTTCGAAGTACATACATACTGCTTCATTCACGCCGCGGTTTCGGTCAAACCGGGCGAAAATGAAACCCGCGATCGTCGTCTACGAATCGACTAGATGCACGAGCCGCGCACTTATGCGCCGTGCGCGCCCGCGCAAATTAAAAAACAACGTGGCTCGAACGATGATTGAACTTGAAGGAGAAAGTCTCTATTCGACACGCGAACGCTATCGAGCGGCCTGTTAACGTATGCGGGACCATTATTGCGATGCGGACGAGCAAGAATTGTGCAACATTGTGCAATAACCATTGGAAGTTCCACCGGCTTCGGTGAAACAAACAGATCGTAAACGAGTTGCGTACGGAACCGCGGCGCAAACATTTTTATATTACTGTAAAAACGACTGGACTGAAAGTCCGAGGGAATGGTTTGAAATCGATGGTCAAGGAAGATTCGTGTTAAACTTGGAACACGATCTGTTCTCTTCTTCCTCGATTCCTTAATAGTTGCCTTTTCTTATCTAGAGATTGCTCAGTTGTTCAAGGCGACTCGGTATCTGTACGTTTCGCAACAATTCTCTGGTTACCGATATCGCCCTTTGTCCGCTTGAAAACGCGGGCCCAGGGTAGATTAAAACAGCAAACGCATTTATTTATAGAAGCAGCGGGCGTGTGTGCCGCTCGGGTATACGTTTCGGCTGCGCATCCGTATGCGTTTCGTTCTCTCTCGTTCCTGACATCACGCACGCCGGCGAGAAAGAGACGGTATATAAGTTGCATCGCAAAACGGAAGACGCGCATTCATGCCAACGGGCGAACGTTAAAAAAATGAATCGCGTCACGCATCCGCGAGATACATATTTCTGTACGTCGTTCGCGGGGGTGTCCGTCGGGCTCTGACGCCGAACGAGCGTCTTCCAAATCTTATCTTCGATTCTCTTTTTCTTCCGTCGATCTCGCGACCTTGCGGCTTGATTGATTTCTAAGCCGCGGTCTCTTGAACCTCGCCGATAATTGAAACATCATCCTCGTTAATATGCACGTCGTTCTGCTCAGATTCTTCTTTCGTTAAATCATCGATAGAGAATAGATCCTCGTGATCTTAGCTTTTGATTTCGTAGCGAAGTTTAATCTTCTCGGATCGTGCATCGAATATTCACGCGTTTACCGCAAACCGAGCTCCTGATTTATTCGACTGTTCTCGTTTGCATCGGGAAAAAAAGACACGCACCGTCGACGAATGTTTCTGCATACCTAGCATCGCAATTAGATTAGTGATACGCGACGTTGGTATACGGATACTAGAGTAGAATGTGTTCAGCTATTTCTAGAAACCATGCATATATGCATTTTGCAGTTGCAACATGTTAATGCAGTCAGCCACTCTGAAGGAAAAAATGCGATTCGTAGAAATTTGTAGTTTTATAGTTAAACTTCATGAAAATTGAGTTCCTAATACTGCGTGAGACCCAGTCATGTTCGATTTGTTATAGTAATCGATTTATGCATACTTGATAAGCGAAATTGTGTGCCGGTCGTCGGGTCGGAAAAAAATTCTTTCCCCCTCCGTAAGTTCCGTTGCTTTAGACACGATTCAGGTAGAACGAACTTGGACGGGACACGGGCTCTCTTTGTCAGTTGAAAAACACGCCGTGACGCGTTCTTTGGGCGCATTGACTTGTCAGAACGTGCACAGACACGTCTAACAAAATGATACAGAGTTCATCCACCAGCGTCACGTATCGTCTGACATATTCAAGCTGATGATGCACCGCAAGGTGAACGGCCCTCGTCGGGCAACGAATGTGCACTGTGTCGTGCTAATAATCGCAGTTTCGCGACCGCTAAAAACTGATAGCGCTGTCATTTCCTGTTCCTCGCTGCATTTCAACCTTTCGATCTCGCAATGTGATTTCCAGTCGAATTCAATTTTTACTTGCCGCTTGCAGTATATTTAATTGTTCTCTTTCCATATCGATGTATATATCGTACATAAATCATGATCCAAAATTGAAACCGAATCCTCGCGCCAGTTTCTAATTGTCGGTAAATATAAGTCGAGTTTATTCAAGATCACGAACCCGATGGTCTTCGAACGACCGGATGCGTCGATTTTTCGTGTAAAAGATAAACGAAATGAAACGTAACATCGTTCTTTTTTTTCTTTGAAAGGTAACCGCGATGATGGCCACACCTTTATGAGCTGTTTTCCATCCGATAGAGAGAACCGCGGTTGTAGGAAGTAAATAAGAACCGATAGCTCTTCGCGCTGGTAAACACCGTCTCGAAAATCAAGCTTTCAATATCTACCATTTATAACGGGATTGCTTTTTCCTCGGTGATGGCCGAAGTCGTAAATCTCGGATCGTGCCAAATCGAGAGACCGAATGTGACATCTTCCAAATGCGCGTACATATATTGTCTGATTTATGCACACGTGCATCAGCCGAAGCTTGAGATAAATTATAATCTGTCCAGAGATTCAGCCGATTAATTTCCGTAAAGTTTTGCATCTGCGATCCAATATTGAGTACAATCAATTTAATCCATTTGTAACATTTTTTATCATAGTATAACAATTAATAAAAATGGAATTTAAAATAATACATGAATTGTTGTATCAAATCTTGTATCAAAAATTAATTCTTATTCACGTATTTATGGACGACGGTGCAAATGGATTAGAAGTAGAATCGAAAAAGTTTGTATTGAAATTTGTGGGTGGGAATGGAGGTCTTAAAACTGTAATTCCAGAAAGCAGTGACGCGCGAAAGCGGTTCGGTAACGCCTAAGTTTATCGCTCCGGACGTTCCTCGGGTTCTCGTCTGAACCAGGATCGGATAGGTGGGCCGTGAATCTTGTGGGTGGGTGATCACTCTCCTGTTAAAGTAGCTATCCGCCGGCGGTGCGCTAAATAATTTTAGCGATGACACACGCAGCACCGTGGCACGGCAATTATGAATCGTAATCGCGTTATAAATACGGCAATAATAAATTCTCGAAAAGTAGAGAAGTCGATTTACTTTCGCTGAAAACTTATTAATTTGTCAAGCGCTGCCGAGTCGGTTATTCGTTATAGACAAATCGGTAAAGAGAGTCGTCGATCTCGTTTTCATTAAGGACAGCAATTTTTTATTTAAAAAATTGTTGGAGCAAAGAGCTTTGATTCAACGAATCTCGTTTAATTAAAAAGAAGGATTAAACACGGTCGACAGGACGTGGAGTTAACTGCGAGATTATAACCGTGGGGTCAGCGACGATCTATCATGATGATCGTTTCTATTCGAGGAATCTCGATGTGCAATTCCTACGCAATGATGGTTGAACTCTGGGAATCGTTCGATTCCCCTTGACGCGTCGGCTATCTATCGTGAATCGGCCTTCGTTAACGATCAGTGGCGAGCTGGTTCGTAATTTTAGAAATGATAGACCCTGGGGCAGTTTGTTCGTTGTTTCGTGGCTCCTTACGAGATCGAAGGACGCGTATATACGTACGTCCTTTTATGCTTTCTGGTAAACGTTGCACACCGGGTATGCGTATAATGCGTAAGTGTGCGTCGCGAGACGTCCCCGTCCGTCGATCGCTCGATGCGATAATGGCATATACGCGAGGTTGTCGCTACGTGAGCTGCGATTCGAGCCAAGTCATTAATATCGTCTGTAGTTGGGGACGTGCACGCTTTTGTGTCGTCGACGAGGCCCGTCGGATTTCCCGACGGCCGTCCCTAACGACGCCGATCTCTTTAAGTCGGTCGTGGACACACAAAGACGATCCATTGTCACGAAACGAATCTTCCGAACGATCTGTCCCGAACGAACGTTCCGCTGTTCCGTTGATGATAATCGCGTAGCAGGTCGGGTTTCCCGCTACTCGATTTTATTGCGTGTATATCGAAGAGTCAAGAGAACAGGTGGCGAGGGACTCGGTGATACCCCCACGGTCTCATGTTATCCATAAGATATTCCGCGCACGTGTTCGTACTTAATGCCGCTAGATTAAGATCTTATTGTTAATATCGTCGTCGTACCGTCGGTGGAATCAAAATACGCGGCCGAGTGCTCGTTAAATGTGCAGTAATATTTTTTTAAACGATCCGCCACCGCTATTTTTGGACGCGAGGTAACACCGTAGAGAATTCGTAGAGATTACTGGGAAGACGGACGGGGGGATGGTCGGGTGGATAATTATTAGGAACCTCGCGATAACTCGTCTTAATTTTAGCGATGATGATATCGGCTGATAAACGCGGCTACGTACGCGAGTACCTTGAAACGAGCAACCCCCAGACGATCTAGTTTTGCGGCGATAGCTTATCGACTGTTGGATCATGGATATTTTTATCGAGAGACCATCTGGGATTAGCAACGGTTCGCGATATCGCGGCGAGAAGGAAATGATAACGCTGATGGAAGTATCTTGTATACGTTCTCACCGGACCGTTCGTTCTTCCATTTTTCTGAACCATTGCGTGCGACGCCTCTCATTTTCCACGGAACAGAATTATTGAAACCTCGTAGATAATGCGAGCAACTTTTTTTATCTGGTACGGCAGTAAACTCGTGATGATCTAATGCTCTGTTCCTTTGAAAGGCAATCGACGAGAAACATGGATTTCTCAACTATTTCGTTATCTCCCTCACCTGACGCTTTACGCTGCATTGCACGATACTATTCCCTGTGTATTCCTGTTCGCGTTGTCATTGTTGACAGGAAAGAAAATGTACTCGGTCTTTATTACGTTGATTCCAGGAAACGATGTTTGAATGAGGCTCAGTGAGTTTGCTTCTTTACGGGTTAGACAAACAAAGTGCCATTAGTTTTGATTAGGTGTCGAAATTGTCAGAGGAGTGTAATTCAGGTGTATGAATACAGTGCCGTTTAATCTCGTATATAATTTCGCATAGAAAACATAAAGTCGTTTCTATAAAATGCCTAAATACAAATAATAGTGCGCGAATTTCATATTCGAAATTGTTTCTTGTTACAGCTCGTCTCTCTGGACGGACTGCACAGCGGAGTGCCGACGAGGACGACACCGACGCTGACGCCAACGACGCTCCGGAGCATCGAGCAGACTTTCTTGGAGCTGACCAGCGAGTCAGCGTCGCATAGTCGCGAGGCAGGATTCGTGCCACCGTTGGTGGAACCGTCGCAGCCGACCCCGGCACAGACGCAAAATACGGCGGCGCATCCTCTCGTCACCATTGCCGGCCCAGTGGCCGCGAACACCACCCTCGTGGAGAGCCAACAGACGCAGCCGCAGCAAACGACGAGACGCAATATGGGCGGCAGAAGGCCCACGAGGACGATCGGGATGACGCCCGAAGAAGAGGAACGACGACAGATCCGCAGGGAGAGGAATAAAATGGCAGCGGCCAGATGTCGCAAGCGAAGGATGGATCACACCAATGCCCTGTTAGAAGTGAGTCCCTCTTCGAAATAAAATCTCTCAAGAGATCGATCCATTAGAATGAAACGAACTGCTCTTTTCGATACAAGATCCTATGAAATAAATGAATGACACAGTTTGATTTATTTTGACAAACTGCGATTCGTTGTTGCAGGAGACTGAGGGTTTGGAACAAAAAAAGCAGAGCTTGCAGGATGAGATCCAACAGCTGCAACAGGCCAAAGACGAGCTCGAGTTCATCCTGGAGGCTCACAAGGCGGTCTGTCGGCTCCGTTCCACGTCGCCGCCGGACGTGAAGCCCGTGATAAAGCCCGAGGTTCCCGAGGATCACTTCGTGGCTACGACCGTAGCAGCGTCCATCGTTGAGGACGCGAAACGCGATAATTTGAACACCACCGTCAGACCGAACAGACCGAACTCGTTGCCAGTCGAATTCGACAACAACAATCGGCCGAACTCCCTGTCGATCTTCAGCGAACCGAAGGAGAGACCGGATACGCTCCAGTTCAAGACGGTCGAAACGCCGGCATTCATGAAACCGTCCATGGACATGCCAATTACCACGCCGACCAGCGGCATACTGTTCAATTTCGAATCCCTGATGGAGGGTGGAACCGGCCTCACCCCCGTCTCCACGCCCCTGATACCGTCTTGCTCGACGCAGCAGAGGAACAACCTGTCGGCCGTCGACCTCAGCTCCCCGGATGCAAACCCACCGAAGCTGGTCAGCTTGTGACGCCAAGATGATCTCGAGTATGGATCGAACGAGGACGATCCTGAATGAGATGATTGCGCCGCGCACGATTAATAACAATCCGCTACGAGAACTGTGCACAGAAGATCGAGGAACCATGACTGGGGAAGAGGAACGGAGAACTTGTCCAATTCTTTTTACGGAGCATCGCTTGAGTGAAACGAGCTTTTCGACCGTTACGGTTGTCGGGATTCGAGGCCGCGAGGTCGTTTGGCAGTATTAATATGAGACGGGTAGGAGACTACCCTTGGCAAACAGAATTGTCATTTCTTCTTTGTATTGCTCGTTTACTTTATTCCTGAAGAGACGGAGCGCGGTGGAAAACCGCGCGTTCGATTGCATTTTTCTGCCAGCGTTGGAGGATTACTTTTCTGTTTGTACACGCGAGGCAAAGTACTCGTTTGTAATCATGGAGGAATGATAACAAATAAAAATCGGTGAGATACTGTTCATTCTGTACACACTTGTTCGATTTTCAACGAGGTAAACCCGAGTCACCGTTTTTCTAACGTCACGCGAGACAAATTATTCCGCTCGGGAACTCCACGTCGAGGAATTCAGTATTTGCGTCTCTGTCATGGATTTACGCATCGTAAAACGTAAGCTTGTCAAACGCATTTGCATCTCGCGTTTGCGAAGTAACTTTGATAAATTCGAATTTTGAGGCTAACGAAGGGAAAAAGAATGGAATTTCTCTTGTCATTAGCGCGTTTCAGGGGGGCGTAAATCGCGTAGACGTTTGATGAGGACAAAGTATTTCCTTTGCATCTTTCAATGAATAATCGTAGACACGCGGCCGTGTCTGCAGCTGCAAGTGATATAATATAATATATTATACATAATAATGTATTTAACTCGTGCGAATTTTTACGCAGGCGAATTAAAACTGCGTATCGTTAAGATTGTCACGGACTCATCTCTTTAATGTAAGACAACTCGCCATGTTCGGTGTGGCATGAATTTTATACAGCAATTAGGATAGTAACGTTAGCCGAAAGAGTGAACCGTGCCTAGAATTGTAAGATCGATCGATTTATAGCGCTCAAAATCATGTAGATTAAGGATGAAATTCATCTTTGAATCGTGCCTAACTTCATCGGATCAAGTGTGCGTCGCACAATTCAAAGATAGCAAAATCATTCAGCGGCTCGCGCCGCTTGACAGAAACATGATATATATTTTTTATTGGATTCTTGACGAATGCTTTATTGTCGCGTTCTCGAGAAAACGCGGATCGAAGCTGCTTCCGGACGGAAGCGAAAGGAAAATTTTTACGTGCAACCAATGGTGTTTGCAAGTCTCTCACCCCATAACATGTAATCCCTCCATACATATAATAATATATACGTACATATATTTTACTATGTATGACATTTTTGCATGATCTTTAAGCAATATTAATATATTTATGCGCGGCTGCTGTTCACGGGGCTGACCAGAATGACTTCTTTCCTTTTCTCTGTCTTTTTTTTATCGCTATACATGCATAGATCGTTAGAGGAAGAAATCATTGGACTGCTCGATATCAGCCACGCGATCGGCGGCCGCGATCGATGATCGTAAGTAAGGAAGAACAGATTGTAACGCACCATCGATAAATGCTGCAATATATTTTGATTAGATCGACCGAATAAAGAAACAATCGAGCATGTAATTATCAAAGAATTAATGCGTGTTTTAATTCTGTGCATTGTAATTGTTACTCTTACTTATATATATAAGTATTGACAAATGAGGAATCGGCGCGACGGACCGTCGTTCCCTCATAAACCTTAACTTTAATCCTGAGGTAACGTGCAAATTAATTTCTATTACGGTTGAATTTCTATATTTGTACAATTGCTAGTTTCTTTAAATATAAAAAGTGTTTGATACAAGTAATATCACAAGGTGTGTCTGTTTGGCAAATCAGCTTTATTTTTCATTGAACTTTCTTCTAATAAAAGCCGGTCACCCTTTTAATCGCTTCTGCTTCGCTGACCGAATCCATTATTTCGTAATGATCGAATTCTAACGAGAACGTCGCATATCCCGACGAAATTATTCTTACCGCTCTCGAATACCCCAGTAGCTCCGCTAATGGTACCAGGCAGTGGATCACCTGTGTTTATTCATACGTCGATTATTTTATTCCCGTTGATGGATTCTTTAAAACGAAAACAGTACGATACCTTGTTTTGTCCACGAACGTCGATATTATTTATTTCCGCGCGCCTCTTCGATAAGTCCTTCATGACGACGCTCGAGTATTCTTCGGGAACCACGACCTCCACTCGCATTATCGGTTCTAGAAGAGTGACTTCGGCGTCCCTCATCAACTGAAACGCGTCACCAATATCTCGTCAAGTACAAAGTTTGATCATCGCGTTTCATTTGATATAAACTAATTTCACATTTATCCGAGAGAACGTAGCTCATAATAAACCAGCTGTTGCGTTGAAGTTAGTCAAAAGAAAAAAATTGAACGAAAAGATGTAAATGTAAATTCTAAAGTATAAATTCTCCTAAATGCATCCGTGGAATAATTTCGTAATTTCATGGTTGCTGGATATGTGTCACTCTTGTACAGCATTAGCGACAAACCCCTAGAGTACTGGAGCAAACAGCATTCGCAGTCGGGTCGTATACGTAAGATCTTGGATTCGGATTTATTAGAAAATGTACGTCCATCTGGCAGATTCGTTCGATCGCTAGTTTTACAGTTCTAAATTAATCGCGCCGTGAATCACCACGAACAGGTCATCGAGATACAGGACTTCGAGCAGCCCCACGGGTACGGCACTTCCATCATCTGTCCCTCTGATTCCTCCCAGTTCCTTAACGTCGAACTACCGATTTTGGTCGTGATCATAAAAAACTTGAACCTACAGTGTCGCTTGCAGATACAGGTAACGTTAGACAGTTAAATTTGCATTCCACGTTCGAGTGACACGAGACATGTGTATCGGAACCAGGTGGCAGACACTCAGAACTGTCTGCACCATTTCCAATTCACCAGCGCGGAATCGGAGAGGCAGAACTCTAGGGGCGTAATCTGTCGCGTCAAGGTGAAACTGGAGACCGGTTGGAACAAATTGGAATTGAACCTATCGACCCTGACTCAGGCCGCGTTCAAGAGACAATACGCCGTCACGCAGAGAATACAGATATGCGGCAACTGTCGTTTACGTAGAATATATTTCATAGACAAGCACTACGAGGAACAAGAGGTCTGCCCCGAGCTGTACCACAAGTTCCTTGACTCCTACATGCTCAAGTGGGGCATCCGCGCCGTTGAACGATCCACTCAGACGAACAATAAACGGAACAAGAGCAAAGTCAAAGGCAACAATCTCCGGCTCGTGAAAAACTTCAGTGCTGATAATATCAGTAACGGTGAAGCTAGTCAGAGCAGTCCTAAGAACTCCGCCGGACGCAGGAGTTCCGCTGGACAAAGATCGACCGACGAAGACTTTCTGAGGAACTTACAGATCAAGACGGATATACTGATCAACGAATTTTTCGACAGACAGAGCAGCAAGATACCACACGTGCTGGATTTGAAACAGAACACGAAATTGAAACCCTACGCGTTTCCGTCGGTGGCTTCGAAATCGAAACCTCTGGGCAGTACCCGTGTTTCCGAGGACGTGTTGAAAAGGATCAATGTCGCGCGTACGTTCACGGAAACCTACATAGGCAACGAGGAGAAACGAAAGGACAACAACGTCGTCCGGATTATACAGGATAATTGGAAACACAGATACTTCGTTCCTCAGGACGATAAATTGAGTAAAAGCAGTTCGTTGAACCAGGCTGTAAAGAGAACAATGTTGGAACGGAAACCAAAGTCTCTGCTCCTTTTATCCGAACTAAAACCTGGTTCTGGGAAACTTAAGCCCGCGGAACCGCCGGCGAAAAGCGCTGACCCAGCTAATCGTGACGAGAGTGGCACATTTATAAGTTAATTGTTAGTTGACGTAACTTCAGTATTAATTAATTGTAATACGATTAAAGTATCGTATTGCCCGTTGCTCTTCGGTGCGAAATTGTATTAGATTAAGAATAAGGTATCTCACCTTTCTGATGCATTGCGCAACAGCAGCAGAGACGAGCGAGGGCGTAGCTTTGGAGTCGACTTCCAGCGAATGTAACTTTATACCCATGTTTACAACAGGGTAATTTAATTTTGGTCCGTGCAAAAGAACTGACTGGACACCACTTTTCACTGCTTTCATCGTTTTCAAAGGAACAGCACTTAAATTAGACTCATGTGATTTATCGAGCAGCAATGTCTCGTTTCCTTGGTAATTGGGTATCAACGACATATTTAATGTTACTATGCAACTGATCTCTCTCATCTTAAACTCGTGCGTGTAGGTATCTCGAACTGGTTCCCTTATACTCTCCCTGTAGGAAATTTGCAACGGACCTAAATCGGCGTCGATTTTATATTCTGTTTTGATCCTCTCTTTGATAATCTCGAGATGCAGTTCGCCCATGCCTGCGAGTACGATTTGGCCGGTTTCGTCGTTCTGAGTCACCTTCAGACTCGGGTCCTCCCTCTCGAGTTGCTGAAGAGCCGATTCCAAGGCGACTTGTACAGACAGCGAAGGTGCCTCTATCGAGCAGAAAAAGACCGGTTCCAACAGTCTAGAGTTACAGGAGAATATTCTGTCGACGTCTTCCGGTGTGACACTTTTCGCTGCTTCCAATCTCTTTCTTGCTTGTTTCATCACCGTCGGACTAGACGTTACCAAGTCACCAGCGGTTGTAGTCTTTAACCCTGTTATCGCTACGATGTTGCCGTGTGTGATTTTTGGTACTTCTTCATAATCGTCCGCGTACGCGATGTACAGTTTGCCTACTTGCTCTTTCGTGTCTGAACGAACGTTGTACAATCTCGTGCCCTTTTCCACGCTGCCGCTGTAAACCCTGAAGAACGTGATCGCTCCTTTCTGTTTATCGTGAACCACTTTGAACGCTCGGGCTGAGAAATCGTTGCCGAAGCAACGGTAGTGCGCGGTACATTTATTTGCATCGGGTGACGGGAGGTACAACAGAACGCTATCCATCAGTGGTTGCACTCCTATATTTTTGTAAGAGCTACCCAACAATACAGGAATACCTTTCCTGCTTAGTGTCGATCTGTACACAGAATCGAGCAACGTTTGCGCTGTGATTGTGTCTAAAGATTCCTGCTCTATTATCACATTAGCCAACTTGTCATCTATGTTGGATAACTTGTCAGTTAAACTCCTTCGCCTGTCCAATGCCATTTCCCACAAGCTCCCGTCTTCGTGTTCAGTCAATTTGGTTCTCTCAAAACTCATGCCCATGTTCTTAGTGTCAAATACCAGTTTCTCTAAGGAAATTACGTCCACTATTCCTTTCAATACTCCATTCTCTTTAATCGGGCATTGCGTGGGTAACGCTTCCGCGTTCAATTTGGATTCGATCGATTGCAGGCATAAGTCGAAATTCGCATCAGATCGGTCCATTTTATTTACATAAATAATTCGCGGTATGTCGTATTTATCTGCTTGTCTACAGACTGTCAAAGTTTGCGCCTCGACACCTGCACTTCCGTCGAGTATGACTACAGCTCCGTCCAGAACTCTTAGCGTTTGTTCCACCTCCATCGTGAAGTCTATGTGTCCCGGGGTGTCGATTAAATTAATACGATGGTTTTTCCATTCGAACGTCACTGACGCGGAGGTGATGGTGATTCCACGCTGACGTTCCTGGTCCATGTAGTCTGTCACCGTATTTCCATGGTGAACTTCGCCCATGTGTTTGATGAGGCCGGAGTAGAACAGCATTCTTTCCGTAGTCGTCGTTTTCCCTAAAAAATCATCGTTAGAATCGTTAATTCGTAAACGTTACAAGTCGTAGGTTATCTCGAGAGGTTTTACGAGACGAACCGGCATCGATGTGTGCCAAGATCCCGATGTTTCGTATTTTCGCGACTTCCCGGTTCCCATGCTCCTTTTTCACAATCGTCGTATTTTTCGTCGAGTAATGTTTTTGGAACTTGCACCAGGAAGTTTTCACTAACCTAGATATCAACATGACTATATACCTACACACGTTGATATATGATCGAATTTGAAGAGCAAGATCACGTGTATAGATTGTCAATCTTGTATTTACGGATTAAAAGGATGCAGAAAATAAAGTAAAAAAATACATCAGTATTTGACTAATTGCATTTATTATAACGTATTACATATATCTAGCTCTGATAGTTCTTTCATCAAAGTATGTGTTAAACTTCTTCCACTTTCTTCTCTGTAAAGGATTAAGGAGACCACCACTAGGAGCTCGTTTTAGCATCAATCCTAATAATTATTTTGCGTTTAATATAGAAGCATGTAGTTTGATATTGATTATAAGTTACGAATCATACCTGCAGCTTGGGCCATTAATATCAATGAACTAATCCTTTTCTGTTGTACCTTACAGAGACCAGTAATCCTACGTGGTAATATACAACCATCTGATCTGACAAATTGATTCAGTATAAGGACATCCTAAAGAAACAATTTTTGTAATAAGGAGAGTCGTTATATATGGAGTATGATCTATTCTTCACTTCACTAACACTTACTGTGTGCTTAATATCAAGACCAGAGGAACAGATAGGACATGCTCCATTTTTGGGTTTTAAAAATAGTTTCTCGTTTTCATCAGGTTTTATCACGGCTTCAATAGTTAAAGTTTTTCCCTCTTTTTTCTCAATAACTGTGAAGTAAATACGACTATGCAGGTTAGAGATGCTAAATTGGAAATCAAGTAACGTTAGACTGTAATTAACACTTCTATTTAATATCACTCACTTTCTTTGATACGCGAAGTCGCAGATAATGAAATATTTCTATTTTGTGTTACTGTCGCTACATTTTTCCCAATATTTCTAATAACACGATACAACGTGGCCATTTTGTTGTGAGTATAGATCACATGGTAAACATGATCATTTTATGTAAATCGTAGGCGTAAATACTGTTCCAATGATCAATTAGTAGTTTCCCGGAGTCAATTTATTTTTACGCATGAATCGTTGTTCAGAAATTTTTGTGGAAAAAAATATATCCATTCACCGGGAGTAGATGAATTTGTATTGGTCGATTCTCTTGTATCCGATGCGGTAAATGCCAGACGACGTGGCCGATGGAACATGGAAGCCGTGTCGCATAATGTAGCTCGAGTTTTCGTAAGACTGCGATATGTCATGTCAAACTGATCATTTGTAAAGGTGTTTTTAATAAGCCGGATCCTCGTTTGGTCTCCCTAATTTATTTAATGTGACAAACGTGAACATTCGAACCGAATCATGGGGTTGTGCAAGTGCCCGAAGAGAAGAGTCACAAATCTATTTTGTTTTGAACACCGTGTCAATGTTTGCGAACATTGCATGGTTACAAATCACCCAAAGGTATCGTATCTCAATGATATATTAACATATTGTTTTAGTGAATTTAATCTATCCTGAGAATTGGATTTCGCACTCGGCCGATGCTCGCATTAAAATAATGCAATGTTCTTATGTCCGTAATCAATGTTTACTTTTTACAGTGTATCGTACAATCGTATATTCTGTGGCTGCACGATCACGATTACAATCCAATTTGTACACTATGCTCAGAGAATTTAAGCGAAGGGGATTGTGTCCGGTTGACTTGTTATCACATGTTCCATTGGGTGTGTTTGGACAAGTTTGCCAGGGAATTGCCAGCAACGACAGCACCAGCTGGATACACGTGTCCAAGTTGTAAGGAAAGAATATTTCCTGATTCAAAATTGGTTTCCCCTGTGGCCGACGTGCTCAGAGAAAAATTGGCTGGCGTAAATTGGGCACGTGCTGGCTTAGGTTTACCTCTGGTAAGCACTTCGATGCGACTTACATCAAATGCAATTCATATAAATTATTAATGTGCAATAATTTTGTTTCTAGCTCAGTGAAGACAGGGAACAGAAGCCTGAGCAAGATCACGGTTCGTCCAGAACTGAAACCACGTCCTATCAGAACCATTCAATAAATGCTTCATCATCGACTACAGCTACTTCGCGTTCCAACAGTAGCGTTAATTCCGTGCACAGCAACATGAACAATGTGCATTTAAACAATCAAAAGGTTGGACCACCCTATTCGATTGTAAATATCGATTCATCAATGGGAATGTCCCAGTCGACGTCGAGAAAAGTCTGTGAGGCTTACGACGATCCGAAGGAAATATCGTTCGATCACGACGAGAATAAATACAGAAGGAAATCCGCCATCGAATGGTTTCTGAGGTGGTGGAAACTAGTGAGTCCGCCGACTCGGCGGAGAAACGCCCCCGGATCGATATACAAGAGATACGCGATGTTTGGTGTCATGGGAATATTGGCTTTTATTGGAATACTAATTTTATTCTCATGGCTCGGAAGAATGGCTACGGAAGGTGACCCGAGTTACGATCTTCGCGAGAACCCTAATGTTCTGGTCGCCGGTAATCCTGGTATTTAATATATTCCGGCCTTCAAAATGAAAATCCAAACGAGACCATGAAAATATTAAATGAACCAAGAGATGAGACGTGCAGTGCAATTATCGAACACGCATTAATAGGAACTTGTAAAATAAGTATTCAGATCGGCTACCAGTCGATAACGTGTTAACAACAATATGATTTGATAGCTTGAAGTACAGTGTACTGCTAGCCTTAATATTTGTTAATTTTTATGTAAAATATACCGTAACACTAAGCTGTATATTACGCTCTGTAAAGACTCGTAAATTTACAACGTTTTCCGTAATGATCATACAATATCGTTAGTTTTTTATACTATTAAAATTAATTAAAAACGAAAAGAGATATAAAAAAAATCGCTGCCAGTCCCGTTGAAATCAACGAGGAATCAACTGAGGGCATAAAACACTTTGTAATTGTGATACCGACTCGAATTAGGGACGCACCATTACTTTGCGTTATTACATTTATTTTAAATCATAGATGTAATTTATTAAAAATGTAGACCTTATAATATCCATCAGAATATTTTCATTCCCACTCAAGGGAGTGCATACCTATGTATATATTAAAAAAAAAATACATCATGTTGTCCATCAACATTTGTAGCGTAATATTTTAATACGAGAACATCGTAAATCCTCCTTTCTATAGTTGAAAATAATGTAGAAAATTCAACGTACTACATTTATTCACGCTTGACCGGACGTGCTTGCAATTCAAATGATCTGGTGACCGAATAGTGAAACGTCTCATGAAATATTAAAACCTCTTAACAGATCGGATAGACGTTCTGATATTAAATTTTAACAAAAAGAAATAGTTTATAATAAAATGAGATGAAATAATGATCCGCTGCAGCAAATGCGATGCTCGGTTTGATGAAGACGAAGCGTCGTTTCTTGCTTCAGATTTTAACGGATTTTAATTTGGATTTTGAAACAGAATCACCATGATCTGTAGTCGTAGAGTGGGGAACGTTTGATTTTCTTTCTTTCTACGTTCCGTAGCAGCCATTTGCGGTCAGGACGAGGACACCATCGTTTCGTTTCACGTGTTAGTTCAATATTTTTATACGTACCATCTATGCATGATGAGTTAACAAGTGATTGCATAGTGATTTCTGTACCGAGGATCTACAGATCAATTCGTGCGAGTTTATAACGGAGACCTTCCCCATATTAGTAAACAGTAACTGATGATCAAAATTTAACTTCTGATTAAATGTTTTACACACGTATAAATTTTATTTCTATTATAGCATAATATTTAAAACGTATTATTATTTTTCTTATAAAACTTCTGCACGCGAAGAGGCAGTAAGTCAGAAGCAGAGCGTTATCTTCGAGGTGAATTATCTATATTAACCCGAGATTGATAGCGCGCATTGTCTTTAAAATGAATTTAATGAAGTGCGTCAGAAGGTGGTTGCCGATTTTTGCAATTAATTTAACAACGTCTGTTGGTGTTTTTTATTTATGGAGCAAAGGATACAAATGCTTGGTATCAACGGCGTCCTTGTGCAGTATCGGTAAAACATAAAGAAATAGTTTATAATAAAATGAGATGAAATAATGATCCGCTGCAGCAAATGCGATGCTCGGTTTGATGAAGACGAAGCGTCGTTTCTTGCTTCAGATTTTAACGGATTTTAATTTGGATTTTGAAACAGAATCACCATGATCTGTAGTCGTAGAGTGGGGAACGTTTGATTTTCTTTCTTTCTACGTTCCGTAGCAGCCATTTGCGGTCAGGACGAGGACACCATCGTTTCGTTTCACGTGTTAGTTCAATATTTTTATACGTACCATCTATGCATGATGAGTTAACAAGTGATTGCATAGTGATTTCTGTACCGAGGATCTACAGATCAATTCGTGCGAGTTTATAACGGAGACCTTCCCCATATTAGTAAACAGTAACTGATGATCAAAATTTAACTTCTGATTAAATGTTTTACACACGTATAAATTTTATTTCTATTATAGCATAATATTTAAAACGTATTATTATTTTTCTTATAAAACTTCTGCACGCGAAGAGGCAGTAAGTCAGAAGCAGAGCGTTATCTTCGAGGTGAATTATCTATATTAACCCGAGATTGATAGCGCGCATTGTCTTTAAAATGAATTTAATGAAGTGCGTCAGAAGGTGGTTGCCGATTTTTGCAATTAATTTAACAACGTCTGTTGGTGTTTTTTATTTATGGAGCAAAGGATACAAATGCTTGGTATCAACGGCGTCCTTGTGCAGTATCGGTAAGGATAAAAAATTTCTCAAAGTTAATTAAAATTATGATGAAAGATAAAGAGGTAGACTAATTCATCTTGGAATGTCGAATGCGATATCTTATCCGTTTAACGGATGGTTCATCGAAACGTACGATCAGCGCGAAAGTCGATGACACGGTGTAATTACGATACTATTATTTAATCTCGGAACCATGAACACGTGCAATTTTACAATCAGATCAGATATTCCCTTCGACTCGCTTCTATCAGCTTACTATACCAGCTTATGAGGTAATGTGCCTATGAATATTTCAGGCGGTACTTACCTGTACTGTCGCATAAAATCCAGAGACGAAGTATCCTCGAATCAAGCCGTTGTCATAACTGGCTGCGATTCGGGATTAGGATACAGCCTGGCTCTTTATTGCCAGCAACTTGAACTAACTGTGATTGCCAGCGTGTTGCAAATCGATAGTCCCGGAGCTAAGCAGCTGGAAAAAGCGGGTGTCCTCGTTTGCGCTATGGATCTCACAAGCTTGAACGATGTTACGAATTTTGCAGAATATGTCCGAACAGTTTTGACGAGTAAAGACTTAGGTATATAATTTACTTGATTAGGAAATTTTAATAATAGTACACTGTAAAGCGTATGTAATATTCGTGTTTTATTAAAAATTATCATTTATTTAATGATTTCCTATAATCAGTCAATTGAGATAGTGTTTATTAGAGAAGAGAAATCGATCAGGATAGAGCATGAATAAAATACCGGTTTCAGTGTTACGATGTTTGGTCAATAACGCGGCGGTGATGATCTTCGGCGAATTTGAATGGCAAACAGAGAAGCAGCTCAGACAGCAAGTAGAAGTGAACCTGCTGGGAACTATGCGGATCACTCAGAGCTTGATGCCGCTGATCCGTGCGCACTTTAGCCGGATTATCGTAATCTCTAGCCATTGTAACATTCAACCGATTCCAGGTGTGGCGGTTTACAGTGGGACCAAGGCTGCTCTGACTGCCTGGGCCACTGCCATGAGGATAGAACTGAAGAAATACGGCATCAAAGTCATTTGTTTTATACCTGGTCCGTAATCGACACTAAACTATTTGTACTTATAAACAGACTACAGATTTCGTGCAATTATAAGAAAATTTAGCATCTAGAAATGAAAAATGTAAAGTATAGAACAAATGTTTATCTTTTCAGCTGTTACCGTAAATGTTTCATTCTGCATAGAATCGATCTATTAATGAAAATATTTAAACAGACTTAAAATAGTCAGAGCGATTGTTCAAAGTCGTCTCGAGTTTAATTGTGTGCAAATTACGTAGGTTCGTTTGTTAGAGAGAGCAATATACTTGCGCGACAGGCCGAGCACTTCGAGGCGATGGAAAGGTCGATGTCCCTGGAAGAAAAAAGGTTTTACGGCCACTACTTCGCTCGGTACTCGCAATATTTCTCTTCCGTAGCGCAGGGCACGAATCCGAGAAAGCTGCAGGACTCGGGTGTCTACGAGGTCTTCGAAGGCGCTCTCCTTGACAAATACCCGTCGGCAATTTATAAGTACGTGTGCTAATTAGACGTTTCTTATATTTTCCGCTAAATGAGAAGTGAAACATTTAACACTATACGAAAACCAGAAATTCTCGATTAGCAAGACTAAATATGATAATGCAAGAGTTTCTTAATAACTGCTTATTGATTCGAGCACAAAAGAAGAATAGAAACTGCACGTGTAAGCCCAGCGAGAATACCAACGACTCTCTCGCTATCTTGATTTCTTTGATTAAGATACAAATCTATTAGTAATCCGATTTTTGTTTCTGAACACCTGCATCGGAACATCTGTACACAGATTAACTGATACGAATCACACACTTTTTAATCGCGTTGTGTAACGATTGTCACCTGACTAACGGGCCTGTTCCAATTTTCATGTAGGAACGAGTCTTGGAGATATTCTATTTATCATGCCTTGTTCATGATCACGCCAATCTGCATNACATAGAATGATATATTATTAGAATATAAGTTTATTTGACAAATACATTGTCCGAATCGTCGTTCAGAGATACAATTTAAAAGCATCCCCGATAAAATATCAATTAATCCACGTGAAAAATTAATGAACCACGCGGTTGCATAGGGCACTTGGGTGTGAATAATGTTTCACAGCTGCCACCTGCACCGAGACGTGAGATAGAATATGAAGAAGCGAGACGGGCGATCTTTTTTTCAAAACTAATTAAATTTGTATAGATATTGACTTAAGGACTACGTGGCTCTTATCGATAAACCGAACAATGTTTCCTGGCTGGCAGGTGTGCATTTCAAGTGTTTTTCGAAATTCTCGGTGATAATTGTTTTCGATCGCTCGATTAGATAGCACCGGCAATAAATACCAATCCGAAATCCAGTTTGGGCATCAGTTGCTTTCAGCATTGAAACGAGAAGCAATACATCAAGAAAATGGCAGCAATCCACACCTACGGTATGTACCTCTATTCTTGAAAATCAGTTATGCCGATTTTATAAAATATCATTTACAATTGTATCAAAGGAAATACGGGAATATATATTTTTTCTTTTTGGTAAAAACGTCGAACAGGTATATCATCAAAGTATTCTCTGATTTCAGCTTTCGTCTTGGCCGCTCTGTGCGTCGCCAGTTCGATGCAAACTGAGTTCCAACCCTGCGCTGGCAAACCGGCACCATCAGCAGTCAAGCTCGTTGGATGCGAGAAACTGCCCTGCAATCTCGTAAGAGGAACCAACGCCGAGGCGTTCGTCGACTTCAGCGTCCGTAAGTAAATTCATCCCACTAAAAGATACGTGAAGATCACATCGAAGGCTAATTCGGGGTTCGTTTCATTCGGCTACTTTGTTGCAGTCGCTAACAGCAATACCCTGAAACCGGAAGTCCACGTCACGCTCGGAGCCATCACGACACCGTACCCGCTGCCACAACAGGACGCCTGCAAGGACCTCACGAAAGGATCATGCCCCTTGCAAAAGGGACAATCGGCCACCTATCACATGAAAATGCCCGTCGAGAAGGCCTACCCGAAAGTGGATCTGACCATCCAACTGGCTCTGGTCGATCAAAATAAGAACGTGCAAGCGTGCTTCAAGATCCCGGCTAAGGTTGTCGACTAAACTGTTTAACGGATTGGAATCATGCTCTTGACGAATTGACCATGCATTTTGTTATATTCTTGATCGGGATATAAATATAATTTAGTACACACCATATATTTCTTTCCTTTTTTTATCCACTACCTTAGACTTAATTGTTTATTCTAAAGAGAATGTGGTACTTTACGAAGGTAGCGATAAGCTAACTTGATTGCGAAACCTCTAATGAGGTTTCCAGTTAATCACTTTTACGATGTACAAAATTTATTCCACTTTGGAAAGTATTCCCCGGCGTTGAGATAACAACCGTTCTAATGGGAATTCTTTTCTCCCGGTGGCTAAATAATATTCGTCTGGACGTATCTGACTAAGTAAGTGGTAATAATTCTGTAAAACTGGAGACAAACGACTTTACGTCAAAATTGTGCGTCTCGGACTTATGTTCGCCGGAGGAAGGAGGATGAGAAATCCAAGGGGGTTCGGGCGTATGCCTGACCCACATCCCCGCACAACGATCGACCCCGTTGCATCGCTCTCAAAGATATCTAGTAAAACCTTCGAACACATTCCCGACACAAACAATTGTAAACTAAACATGAAACGATATTTGCAAGTATTAAGAATAAGGAATTATTTCTAAGGACGAGAAATAAGGATCTTAAACAGTAGCCATGATATTTTTGAGTCATTTATTAATAAACGATAGAAATCTTTTAACAAAGTTCATAGTTAAAAATGTTCCTTGAGAAAAATTCCATTCGTTAGACGTAAGTGAAGGATTTACATTAGAGCGTCCACGTGCGTCAATTTAATCAAATTAGTAGATTGGTTCCCGGGGTACGCATACAGGAACCGTCCACGGCCACGCGCATTCTTCTTTCTATAGGCGTAGGGTGTGCACCTTACGTCAATCATTCACAAATTCGTCGGTCCGGCCAATTGGCCGCTACCCAGCGTTCGTATAATTTGTCCCTCGGCCGGAAAATGGGGACGACGCGACCATGGTGGGAACTGGTACTTGATAGTGGTATGCTAGGCATGGTCAGCGATGGCGCATGAGGAGAATAGTAGTGGGGATCGAAATACGGGCGAAAAAGAGGGGAAGCGAGCCGTGCGGGAAAAATTATGAGAACCCTGGCCGCCACCCCGTCCTTGGCATTATTCCGGCTGGATGACGTCCACGTGAATAGCCAGCGCGCCCAGATAAAACACAAACGACGGCCCCGTTAGTGATGATAAGAAGCCAGTGTTCGAGAAAGAAAGTTCGTTCATGTGTGAGCGGTTTCCGTTTCGCAGCCATCACTGGTTCCGTTTGAACCGATCGGTGAGAAAGGAATACGGGCGCGAAATGGATTTGCCGACCCACGCGAGACTCACATTCTCGCCTTCGTACGTATTTCTTTTCCCTCTGTCTTTTCCTCCGTTCGCCACCCGCTTCTTCCCGATGGCACGCGTACGTAATAGCTCAGCGGAGAGTCTGTATGCCAATAATGATTCAGAAGAAGCTGGGCGTGCCTCGCATACGTAAAACGGCCCGAAAATAAACGGGTCACGCGTATACACGCCGTCCAAAGAATTCCCAAACGTTCTTTACTAATTAACATCGGATAAATGTTTGATTCGTTCTATAATAGATGAGGGAGGAAGGTATAATAGGTGAAGAATCGATCGCGTTATTTACGAGAGGATTCGGAAGTGCATTGAGTTCTTTTTTTCAAGCATTAGTAGGTCAGTTATCATCAGCGGAATATATGTATGTAGTTTCGCACAAAACTTGCCGAGTTCGCGTTCCGCCCACGTCTCAATACGAAGTATCGTACAATACCGATGCAATCCTATTGCATCGCGAATAGCTCTCGCGACGCGTAGCTATGTGAGCATAAAACGAATGAGCAGTTACATTAGGAATGTAGACGATGCTTTAATTTCACATTAAACTCAGGCGAATATAACGTTTGCAAAGTAATTCACTTTAATGACATTACATGAGTCTGTCCGTCCGATCTCGCGATGATTAGTTTTTCGATCTAACAGACTTTACAGATCAAATACCATTATCATATTACGTTTTAAATATGTATTATAATTATAAACGACAGAAGTTTCAATGCTTTGATCAAACTCTTGCTGGTCTACGAAGTCGAGCGCCTGTGGCATATGATCGTCTTCGAAATTGGTAAAAACAGTATGACGCTTGACCGCACTTAACTAAGCAAGATCAGTGAGGTCAACGGCGTGCACAGGAAGGTTAATTCGCCTCGGGTTTCTCCCTTCGCGCCGGTGGATCTTCGACCGAGAGAAAGAAGGAGAACGGAACGTTTCATAATTTCTCGCCGGCTGACATTTAACCTCCGCCTCGTAAATTCCTTTATTAGTCGATGCGGTTACACCCGAACATTGCTCTGCGGAAGTAAACGAGATTTTTGAAATATCGACGTTTACCGACGATCCTAAGAAGGATACATCTTGCGCTACTCGACTCAGCGAATACCGGTTTTTATCAGCGTAACGAGAGGAGGAAGAAAGGTAGGCGATCGTATCGAGAATGAAACAGGATAACGCGTATGTTGACATCGAGAGGTGGGGAGAGTTACCGTACATATTATTAGGGAGCGAGCGAGTGAAAGGGACTCGTATCGGCGGCGGGGATACACGATTGTGATGAGCCGGGGTGACTTCGTGCCGCCGGTGACGTCAGCACACAGTATTTCGGTCCGGCAGCGTGAACGCGTCGTGTTACGAAATCGCGTGGTTGCAACCGATTTATTACGGTTCCGGTGGAAGTGAGGCGTGTCCGAGACCGAGCTCGCCGCGAGTGTGATATCAGAACCCGAGCAACGAGGATCAGTGACGTGCGTAATCGCGAGGGACTCGTTTTTTGGTTATTCGAAGTGCGGCTCGTGCAGCAGGTAGTCGAAACGTCGACCGACGGCCATCATTGTTGTCAAGATGGCGTCGAAAGGAAAGCTAGCGACTGAGGTCAGTAACATTTTTTGTTTATTTCTTTCGGGAATTCATACGTTCAATGCGAGTTCGATCGTGACGCAAAAGCAGGCCGCTCGTACGACGAAACCATGAAACGAGCGTCCCGCGTGGCGTTGTTTTATCGATCGCCTTATCGAATTCGCGATCCTCTGTAATTGTGTTCGCGCGCTTCATTCGGCGACAGGCCACGCGTCTCGTTTACACAGGAACGTCATACTCTCCGGTAAACCACGCCCTTGGCCAGTCATTCCCGTGGAATTTCTCGACGATTTACGGAATTAATTTACTTCGTAGCATTACTATATGACGTTGACATAACCTTATTTAAGTAGAAACATAAAAATCGCGAGTTGAACGTATATCGATTAAGTATCATGATATGTCAAAATAGGACAACGTTTAAATTAATACTATAGATTCGATAATACAACAAGTTACCGTTTGATAAGATAAAGTCTTATGCACGTGAGATTGAGTACATGGAAGTTATGATATTCCTGTCAGTAGCGAGAGAAACATAATCGTAACCGAAAAGTCGAGTGGATTGAATATTTTCTTCTCTGTTCCATCTTACGAAACATACATACTCACTTTAAATTAGCATTCCCGTTTGTTGGCATATGTTTATGTGTATTAAATGGTCGATTGCAGATAAACATTCCCTAAGCTAAAAGATACTTGGAATCCTATCAGATTACAATTTCTCGTCGTCGGACGTAATATATAGTGTTATATATCAAAGATTATGTCGACGGAGAGAAATTTTATCCCTCGTGCTAGCGACAAGTAGCATAGTTTCTTCAGTATCACCAAACTGAAGAAGTGAAAGCAGTCGAAAATATATTTACATCGTCGTGTGTCTGTTACAAAATCTTTGACACACATTTCCTTTTTATGCTATCTTTACGTTTATAAAGAGTAAACGTGACGTTTTGTCATATGGATTCTATTATTAAACATGAAATGGAATTCAGATAGTTTTCTTTTATTGAACAATGATCTTCATGCGTTTTTGAAGATCGTTGGTTTCGGTGTTAGTACGGAGAGTGATATGAAGGGTTTAATATATTTTGAGTGGAGGTAATTATTATTTATTATTATTAATAATAAAATTATTTATTATTATTAATTATAATATAGCGATATAATTAATAAGGAGGTAAGCAAAGGATGATAAATATTTAGTACATTTATTTTAAAAAGACTTGAGGTACAGCCCTGGCGGACTGCAAGATATGTATTTATTGAAATGGCTACAAGATGGCAGGAGTTGGATATCCAATGCGTAACGCGGTAATAGTATACGTGAATCGTTACGTGATACGGACACATGTAAATGTCGATCTGGCGTTTCGTTTTTTTTCTCGTTCCTCGGACGCCCCTCTTTGTCGTCTCACCTTCGACGCTAATTTGAACGATACGGTTCGCGCTTATTATCGCTAAATTAGCCATTATGTCGTTATTTTAACGAGTCGATGTGTGTCAGGGGGCCGTGCACACGCTTCCAGTCTGTGTCCACTGTATTTCCTCGTTCAATTTCTCTTCTGCCCGTTGAACATGTCCTGCTTTACAAATACGTCTATCGATTGTTCACTTCTATCGCTTTCTACATAATCGTTACGCTAGGGTAGCTTTTATTACCAGCCAGTTATCTTTTATTGTGATTAGTAGGTCGGGTCCTAACGTAAATCATCGACTCTTTACCATTACCTGCTAAAAGTTAATTGACCCAGAAAAACAAAGTGGTATCGCCAGGGGTTGACAATCTGAGTCACGGAAACGTACATAAACGTGTTCGTACTAGCGTGCCAGATTTATGTTACGACTTGTCTATTTCCAAAGGGAAATCGTGCGTCCACCAGTTCCCGAATGCCTCCCGCAGGATCGCGGTTTCGTTTTATTAGCCGTCCGGATCCTCTCGCGGGGATTTAAGAATGTCCGGTTTCGAGGTCAAACCCGTGACAGTGAGGCGTCTAGATTTGTCTCGTGAGATCTGGCTCGATCCAGCTGTTTTAATGGTGAACTTCCGCGACGGCGGCGATGTGAACACCGGAGGGGTCGGCCCACGCGACCAGAGACCATAATTCCTGGGAAGGAAACCGCCCTGCATATTGGCCCTTTTAAATTCCTTTACCTCCTCTAATTCGGTCTCGCATCCGCGCGCGACGTCGTCTCTCTTCGATCATTTAAATGCCCGGCCACTGTTCAGTTTTTTCCTCTCCGTTCTGGCACTACACCCCTTGAGTTTACGACGCCACGCTGCGTTGAATGCCACCTGATTAGTGCCAAATGGAGACCAATTTACATCTCGATGTACGTGTCTCGTTCACGGAATTTTTCAACGAATTTCCCATTTCAAATCCTCTCATAGGAAAAAGATACACTTCGAGGATGCAGTCTATACAACTGCAATGCAAACTCGATTACTAGTGCCGCAATGAGACAGATAACAACTTGCTGCTAGACTTTGTCTAATTATGAACGTAACAATTAAAGAGATAGCGACAAGTAAATTCGATACAGTGTTCTATTTCTGTTCAAACGACAATTCGTACTCGAACGTGCAATTTGCTAATGGGTCTTATTTTCACGAACACGTTTCTGCACCCGGTGCACGCGTATTATCGGTATGTGTACAACGAGTCGATAACGTGTCCGGCGATAACGGCTTATCCACCGATAAAATTACGTAACACCGACACGCGGGAATGCGTACACGTACACGCGCGCATGTTAATGGGTTTAACTCTAATTAAGAGCCCCTCGAAAATTATTGCCGGCCTCCGGTGCAACGACTACCGTTATCAGTTAACATCGAAAAATTCGATAAACGTCTATATATTTTATATTTTTCATCGTTCGCCCGGCTTATCGGGTATGAATGATTTTTAAACTACGTACAACCGTACGTTGTTATCTGGATCGTGAGCGTTATCACTGTACAGCAGATTTTATGCAATAATAGAAGAATTGTATCACCAGTGAATATAAAGTGTCTTCGCCATTTTCAACAATATACGAAGTATTGAGAGATTAGTACCTATTCCGATGTTCACTTGATTTGGAATGCATTTTTTTAACTGATAGATTAAAGTCTCGTTATCACTGGATTGATTTCAGAATTTATTGGACAGAGAATACGAAGCCGTGCATAAAAGTATGCGAAATATCAGAAGTGATAAGAGAAGTAATTCTCTGTTGGACGATTTCTATAAATATTTTATCTCGCGTGATTTATTTGCATTCCGGAATGCAGAAGCGACGGGCCATTAACCATTGAAGGACGAATGGATTCCTTGTAAAAATGTGACGAGGAGAGATTCGGACAGAGAGATTCTCAATGACGTTCACACCGCGATGCGATAGTAATTACGCTGGTCTGGCGGCGTTTTAAAGAGCACGTGCAGCACGCGAACGACTCTTCTTTTGCCTCTTATTCCATTACGTTACGTGAGCGAAGTGTAACATAGTTTGTCGTTCCACGGTGTCCCTATTAATTCGAGAACGGCCGCAACTTCCGGAATTAGTCGGTAAATAATTTAAAAACGACCGGCCGCTCAGTCCTGCTTTTTGTTTACCGCGCGACGAATTAACTTCTGCGTAAAGAATGTTAGCCGCGGTGGTAACGAGCTCCGGGCGGGCACGTAGAAACCGTGTGATGTCGGCTACGTCGTATGAATATTCAAATTACATCTACCGGAATATCAAATCCACGTACGCGGAAAAATTTCGTTATACATTTTCGTCTTATTTTCGCTGGCCACAGATATTTCCTTTTTCCGCCATAAATTATGCATCGAACCCCGCGCACGAAGAAGCGTAATATCGAGAGCCGAGATTTTTTAATCTAATTTGAAATTAAAATTCAGTGTAGATCGCTGAATCGATCCGAGCTCGTGTCCATTTAATGCGAGAGAGATAGTGGGAATCCTCTAAAAAACTGTTGTGCATTTTACGTGCATACTGTCCTGGTTAACACGGAAACGATGGAATCTACTGTTTCTTGTTTCTAATGCTGACCAAAATTCTAATGTTTTCGAGACGAAACTGTACTACGTGCACGCCTTTAATAGTAACGCGAAAGGTCAACGGCGAATGAAATTAGCATCGGCAGTTTCGGGAAGTGCTAACTAAATTTAGTAAAATCGTCAGTTATATCTAGTCCTGTTTGTTGGGTGATAATCTCCCGGATAAAATGGGATCTGGGATCTTTCGCGAATTCGCGCAACTTCGCATTGTAAACTTTCTACTAATCTGACTGAGGAAAAGGTCAGTCGTTCTCCTTTGTTCAAGTAATGACTGAAATTGATGTCGATTTAATGAACAATCAAAGAAAGGTCTTCAATGCTATAGGTTGTATGTATAAGTATTCTAATTCGAATTCCAATATCTTATTACAATTTACAATCACATTATTGAAGAAAACGACCGCGTGGCGACGTTTTTCCTTTTAATTAAGATACTTACACGTGAGATTTTTTTATAAGCAACAACCGCTTGAAAGTATCTCGAGTCTTATGACCTTATAAGTGTACATGAAAACTGTATCCCGAATGAAAGTTCTGTCGAGGGAAAATGGAGAAAAAGAACACGGCAGTGGTTGCTAATTATGAACCCTCGTCCACGTAGTGCAACCATCTCTCGCTGTTACTTTTGACGGGGTTACATGCTCTCGTCATCGTAAAGCCGAGTGGCGTGCGATTCGCTATGCTTACCTTGTTCTAGAGCTAGTTTGTCGTCGACGTCGTCGTGACGTCGCCATCGAGTGTCACTCGCAGGGTTGAAAACAGTCTGACATTTTCGAGTTTCCGCGTGTTAGTAATTCTTGCTCACCGGAGAATACAGCAGGCATGACCTACATCGTCGCCGAGAGAGCCTGTGCATTATGCCAGGGCCCCGGGTCACGTGCTCGCGACGCGAGTCTCGCTGATTATGATGCGTCGACGTCTGCATTCCAAGATTTTTGATGACGATCGAAAATTTTATTAGGAAAG